AAGAAGAAAGGATGGATACATAGGAAAGGAAGCTGGCATCACCTCATCACCTTTACAAAACGTTGAAGACAGTCCAAACTTTTTTCACAGAACATGCTATTTTAGAACTTGGTCTCAAAGCTTTTGACCAGGTATTTCCTGGTCAACAATCTAACAATGGGAGTAAAAGGCTTCATTGCTTGAAGAGAAATTTGCTCATTTCTAAGATTTGATAACCCAAACGCAATTGTGAGGCTTAAAAACAGGGAGAATTAGGCTGTTTAAAAAGAAAAAACAAGTTTTTGTTTGTTTGTTTTTTGTTTTTTGTTTTTTGTTTTTTTTTAACAGACTTCTAATTATACAAAGCACACACACACACAAAAAAACCAAATAACTAGACTTTCTTCTCAACTTTCCTTCATAGATATTTTTTGGAAGAATGCTATAGACCTTAGAAATGTTATAGCTCCAGTGGACAACCATCCTCCTTGAGGAGAGCCCTGAACACAATGTGAGTGCCTGCTGCCAAGAGGAGAAGGAAAAGGAAAGATGACAAAACTTATCTCTGTATGAGCAGCATGCTTGAATTATTATTATTATTATTATTATTTTAAGTCAAACTGGAAATAGGTGCTTCTGTGCCTTAGAGCACTCAAAGAAAGTTAATTTTTGTTGTTGTTTTTTGTTTGTTTCCAGTTTTAGGCATTGAGGGTGTTCATTAATGAAGCAAATCCTACTTTAGGATATACTTGGCTCAACAATGCCCTATTTTGAGCCCTACGTTTTAACACACTCTGTTCAAGGAAGTTTGGGGAGATGGAGAAAATGAAGCTTGCAAAAGACAATGAAATAAAAAACAGTCATATTTCAAGACTACTACCATTAGAAAACTGCTATTAAAAGTTGTACTTTAAAAAATAACCCATGTTTGTATGACATTTAATGCTTAAATTCACCAACTTTCTACTGTTCTCCTTAGCTTCTTTCAGACTTTTATTTAGGACTTATCTACTATATTGCTGCAAGTTACTTCACCCATTTTCACTGATCATTTGCTCACAGTATATTTTTATCTCACTAGTGAGAATGGTTAATAAGAGAAAGAAAACAAAAGAAAATATATATTAAAAATGTTGTAGATTGTATTGCTTTAGCGTATTGATTTTGATATTGATATGACATGTGGAAAGTGAAAGCATTCTTGATAGCCAAAAACCACTATTCAGTCCATAAATCAGGAAAATACAAAGTTAGGTGAACTGAGATCTCCTGTGTATCAATATTAAACCACTGCAACAAAAGCTAGCAATGTTAAATATCTCTTTATGATTAGAAGTATCCATATTTATGGAGTTTACATGTGGTTAAAACATCTTATTTAAGAAAAATGTATAGCTGACAAAAACAGAGTAATTACAGTCACAGCTACAATCTGGCTGTATAAATCATTGTAATTCAAACTATGGTAGTAATAAAAATAAATGATATGGGTTTTGGTTCATTACCATTCATCTAATAAAATACAATGAATTAAAAAGTTTCCTAAGTGAAATACTCATAAAAATAACAATTTACCTACAGCTTCTTCAAAATTTATGTGAATGCAATACAAAAATAATTGTATTTTTAACAATAGTAACCTTTTGGCAAGGAATTATTTTAATTGTATTCCAGTCCTTGTAATAATTTTGTCCAAGATATGTTTTTCCCTCATAATCTGTCTTCTCTATAATTCTAATTTCATAGATACAGTAAATGAGACAAGAGTTTACTGACTTAAAAATTCAATAAACAAGGTTCACCCTAAGTTGTAGGATTCGATACAGTGATTCTTTTATGGTCAGAAAACAGTCAGAACATTGAAACATTCAAACATAATATCCAAGAACAAGTTTCCTTCCTGTGCATTCCAGTCAATACAGGCTTTGAACAGTAGGTTGCCTGTCCAAAAACGTTACTTCAGGTCTTCAGGTCCCATCTGAGTTTGTATGAACCTATAAGGAACAAATCCCTGGACAAAGTCAAGCAGAACTTTGCACCAACTTTGGCAAAGTGGAGACATTTTGGTAAACTTCAAGCCCTCCATACTTGATGCCTAGAAAGTAACATTGGAGTTAAACCCTAGAGATTTTCCTACTTGATATAGACACAGGAGATGGTAACAGAATGATGAAATATTTTTTGTAACACTAGAAAGCAGAATGCAAATTGCCTTTCTGAAGTTTCTTTATAAATCATGTAGCTATTACAAGCAACAGCTTTTGTTTTATCTACATGTCAAGACCCCACTTCAGCATTCCAGAAGCACATAATCACACTGCAAACGTAGCTAGAATTTTGCTACAGTAAAATCTGTAGAATCAGTCTCCAAAATGTGAGCATTCACTTCCAGAATTGAATTGCAAAGCCAGAAATCACAGATGATAATCCAAGCCATAGGTGTGACAGAATATTATGAATTACTTTGACACTCAGTAAATATTACTAATATTAATATCTAAAAACTCCAATCAGTTGAAAATGTTGGGGTTAAAGAAAGAAAGATAGTCTAATGAAATAACGTTCTGGAGAGATGTCAAAATCCTCACATGTCTGCAGAAGACAAAACCACTAAAGCAGCAGAGCATGTAGCATTAGTTGGAGAGACTTATATTTTTGTAGAGCAAATGAATCACTCGTTTCCTGCAAGGAAAGATTCAGAGACCCTCCGGATTAAGGTAAAGCAGAGGCTCAGCTTGAGCTCTGTAACTGTGGATTTCTACATGTCTGGAACAAGTTATTTCCCAGTTTCTCGCTGACACCTACTCAAGGATGAGGGAAAGATCAACAAAAAGCAGAAAAGGAATAAAAGCAAGTGTTTAGGAGACCAGGAAGAAAGCTATGTCGATGTAACAGGCCAACCCATGCAGCCTTTAGCAAAATCTCTATCACTGTTAGGTGATCTATCCTGTGCACATTGCACTGTGAGGCAAACTTCTGAGAGTTATTAGCATTAGAAGAAGTTTAATTATATATTTTATGGTAAATGGAATCATATTTTTATTTCTAAAAGGTCACAGAAGACATAAAATGTTTCTCTGAATACTCTGTATGAGAAGAATCCAAGTATTCTACAATTTACTGTAAGATTCAAAGCTAAAATGACAGATCACAGAATCATAGGGATTGGAAGGGACCTCCGGAGATCATCGAGTCGAACTCCCTGCCAAAGCAGGTTCCCTACACCAGGTCACACAAGTAGGCATCCAGGCAGGTCCTGAATATCTCCAGAGAAGGAGACTCCACAACCTCTCTCGGCAGCCTTTTCCAGTGCTCCGTCACCCTCACCGTAAAGAAGTTCTTGCGCACATTTGTGCAGAACTTCCTATGCTGCAGTTTCTGCCGTTTCCTCTTGTCCTGTCTCCACACACTGCTGAAAAGAGTCTGGCCTCGCCACTCTGCCCCCCACACCTTAGATATTTATAGACCCAGATCAGGGCCTCTATGGAGGTAAACTTATTTTACTAACTATGATATCAGAATGCAAAATAAAACAATACAATACAATCTAATTGAAATTGAGACTAATAAATCAAATAAGATATGAGAGAGAGTTCCCGAGACCGAGTCAAACCTGAAAAAGCTTGGAACGGCTAGGAAAGCACCTCCAGCACCCACTGCCAGGCAGTAAGAGACTGCCCCACCCGGAAGGGTCAGATCCCATGACTTCCGTAATGTATAGGGATAGGTACGTAGAATTAGAGCATTAACACTTTAATTCCAGTACATGATGTTTTGATGTGGAATATTGAAAATCAAATAAAAAAAAAACCAAAACCATGACACTCTCAGTCTTCTTTTTACAACAGACCCAGTTCACTTAGCCTTTCTTCATAGGGGTGATGCTCCAGGCCCTTCACCATCTTTGTGGCCCTCTGCTGGACTCTTTCCAAGAGATCCCTGTCTTTTTTGTACTGGGGAGCCCAGAACTGGACACAGTACTCCAGATGAGGCCTTACCATGGCAGAGTAGAGGGGAGCTACACCTCCCTTGACCTGCTGGCCACGATCTTTTCAATGCACCCCAGAATGCCATTGGCCTTTTTGGCCACAAGGGCACACTCCTGGCTCATGGCCAATCTGTCGTCCACCAGGACACCCAGGTCCCTCTCTGCAGAACTCCCCTCCAGCAGCTCATCCCCCAGCCTGTATCGGTGCATGCAATTATTCCTCCCCAGATGCAAGACTCTACACTTGCCTTTGTTAAACCTCATCTGGTTTCTTACTGCCCAGCTCTCCAGCCTGTCCAGATCTTGCTGAATGGCAGCACAGCCTTCAGGTATGTCAGCCAATCCTCCCAACTTCATATCATCAGCAAACCTGCTGAGGATGGCCACTATCCCCTCATCAAGGTCATTGATGAAGATGTTGAACAAGACTGGACACAGCACCAACCCCTAAGGAACACTGCTAGTTACAGGTCTCCAACCAGACTCTGCACCACCAATGACAACCCTCTGTGCTCTGCCAGTCAGCCAGTTCTCAACCCACCCCACTGTCCACTCATCTATCCCACACTTCCTCAGCTTTGTTATAAGGATGTCGTGGGAGACAGTATCAAATGCCTTGTTGAAATCAAGGTAGACTACATCCACTGCTCTCCCCCCATCTACCCAGCCAGTGACAACATTGTGGAAGGCTACCAGGTTGGTCAAGCATGACCTGCCCCTGGTGAACCCATGCTGACTACTCCTGATAACCTCCTTTTCTTCCAGTTGTCTGGAGATGGCATCCAGCACAAGCTGTTCTATCACCTTCCCAGCGACAGAGGTGAGGCTGACTGGCCTGTGATTACCTGGATCTGCCTTCTTGCCCTTTTTGAAGACCGGAGTTGCATTGGCTGATCTCTGATTGGCTTGACTGATCCTGATTTCAGATGGCCAACGCAATAACTGCTGTACATCACATATGTATGTATGAAAAATATGGGAATGACAGTCACCAAATAACAGAAAAAAAGAGCAGACAAAACCCTGAGAAGAATCACTTTTTACTAATGGTGGAGCAGTTGCAGTTCACAGAGTATCTAAATACATTGTCCTCAGTGAGTATGGAGAAGAGCAGGGACTTTCCAGGCATGAATAACTGGCACTCAGTAGCATATAGTCCATCTCCATTTTTCCTTAAGTAGGAATAGTACAATATTAAAATTTATTGAGGGAGTGCTCTGCTGAACCTCCAAGGCACATTATCTCAATGACTCATAAGGTTCCTATGCAAACACAAACAGGAATGTGGCATCAGAACACACTTTTAAGAACCCAAATTCACTCACATTCAGAAACTCTTATGTATCTTAGCAATAAACTACAAAATCTACAAAACCACAGCATGTTCTGGTTATATGAACACTTTGCTGTTTAACAGAGATAATAGAAGTGTTGGAAGCAACAGGATCAAGGGAATTAGAGGAAATGCTCATTAAAACAAATTTAAAAGGTCTAATGATTAAAATATTGATTAATTAGCCAAACATTGATTAACAGTCACACTTTATCAACTACAAAGGTTCTAATTACTGCACCATTATTCCATAGATTGACCTGTTCTCTCTTGTCACTTACAATGAAGAACAATTTTTATTAAGTGGGTTTTGGATTTTTGACCTGTAAAATTTTAATAGGGAGTGCAAAGAGGGTGTCGTGTGTGGTTTGGCATTTTAGTCACTGAGGGACTCATAGTTACTGTCTCTACTTAACCAAAGGCACAGGAGAGCAAGAGGGATGTAAATAAAAGAATTAAAGTCCCCCACCATGAGAAAGATACATTTGAAACTGCTGTGAGTCTACTTCAGTGAAATAAGAAAATGTATATTGCTAAAATGTACTGATGGGTAATGACAAAATGTTTAACTGATGCACCAGGATGTTGACCAGCCAAGCTGTATTTGCTAAAGTACACAATAATTTAATGAGAAGGAATAAAATGAGAATCTCTTCTTAATTTTTTATACCTACTCCAAAGCAACCAACCCAGCCTACCCTAGAGATGTAGCCATTTCACCTTAAAAATAAATAAATAAATAAATGAAATGAAAAAAGGAGCAGCCGCAGTCAAGAACACATAGTAGTTCATTTACAAAAATATTTTCCACTCCAGCAACCTAGGTCTCAAAAAACTGCTTCACAGTTGAAACTTATTCTCCAGAAAATTTATGGATGTCTCACATAAGAGTATCTTGCTGATTTCAATAACTGTCCATTTAAATCTGTTGATGTAGCGTTTAAACCTTGCTTCACAAAAGAAAGAGGCTAATACACACACGGGGTTACACTCTCAATATAACTGTCTGAAAGTGATGGTCTGGATTTACTCCTGATGAGATCAGCTCTAAGGCCAGAAAGCAGATTTATAGTGTGAACATAAATGAGCATGGAGGAGGGGGACCTTTTTGATCATACATATGCTTGTCAGGCAAAACGTGCTCAAGACCTCATTGCCAAATAAGCAACAGCAAGTGAGTCCCTTGCAGCCAGTGAGGAAAATGGCATCAGGAGGGTGACTCTGAACAGATGCAGCTGGCTGATGGGTTTCATAGCCAAAACTTGGTAGAGGGCCAGGAAAAAACTGCCCCTCCTGTTCTAGAATGGAGGTTGGTCTGCATTTCCTTCTGGCTGAAGTTATAGGTTTCATTCACAGAGATGCAATGCTTTAGGGAAAGCTATATCATTCTTCAGCCATTTAAAGGAAAAGGATAAGCGAGTGTCATGGCAAGGTCTGAAATATCCAACTACACCATCTTCTGCATATTAAGTAAAATAACTACTTCACACAGATGCTGGTACTCAACAGCAACTGAAGGAATTAACACTGTAGTAAACAGGTAGGTGTCCTTGGCCTTTCCACTCCATCCTTCTGTTACACTGTCTATTTTAACCAAAACAATTCCTTTACTTCTATCCTCCACATCAGCAAAAAAAAACCTATTTCATTTCCATTATATACCATATGGCCTCCTGATCTGCTTTCTTGATTTTTTACACCAGAAAAGCTGTTACATTTATAATGCATTTATAACTTAAATCCACAAAGACCATTTAGAGCATAATCAGACAGTCTGCCTGTGTGTTATCCTGCTAAGCCAAGGTTTATGAGTTTTCTCAGGTTATTCAACAAGAGGAAAAAAAAAACCACTTTAGAATCCTTCTCCTTCCCTCCCTACATATATGCACACCCAAGCTTGCATCAATATAGTAAAAAATTTCCATGCAGAACCTGAAAAAGGGTGTTTTAGGGTAGAATTCAGAAACCATGTATTTCTCCTCTATTGAATCTAAGTTACAGAGTTCTTCTGTCTTCCCAGAGGTACAGCAGTTTAATGCCTACCACAAAGCAAATTGAGTCATGGACTCACTTTCTGTGACGCATGAGGGATCAGGATCATATGTGGTAAGTAATAATTCCATGTAGGAGAATGGTGCAGAGGCATCACAAGAAAGCTCAGCACTGAAGTGGCCCAGCCCTGGCCAGCTTCTGCTGGGGAATCTGGCTGGATGATCACAGCCTAATGGGTGCTCTTGGCTCCTTCTTATCAGACTTGCAACTGTGGCCACTTGGGAGGCAAACAAGCCATGCTGGGAGGTTCATAGCACCACACAACCTCTCCTGACTTCTCTTTTTCCCTTTAGGAAAGCACAGACTTTCCAAGGTTAACTTTATTCATGTGTCTTGTAAAGCATGGCTTTGTGTGCATGTGTTTGTGTGTGTGATTGCTTTTATTCCTTGAGAAGGCAGCAGAACAATTTGCCCTGGCAGTGATGCGACTCTTCCTCTCACTAAGAACAGAATAATGTGATCCTAACTGGAAAGAGACACAATAAAACAAAGGTTTAACAAAGCATCTTTTTGCCATCACATCAGGATTTGCAGTCCATAAGGCTGATTTTATTGTAACAACAAAGTGCAACCATTGCTTCAGTGTCACAGCAAATATCTAGAATTATGTACGTGGAATATTAAAAACTTAAATCCCACAGTTAATGAAATATTACCTACTATCTATAGGTAATACTGATATACAAGCCTTTATGAGATTTTTGCAAGCCATAATAGTATACATAAGTATACCAAATTTGACATATTACTAATACATCAATAAAGAAAAAAAAAATGTAGTAAGCAATGAGCAAGAAAACCTATCTGGCTAAGGATGCTTACAAAATAAAAATATTAGCTGTTGTTTCTCAGGCGAATTGAGCATTGTTAATAAATAAATAAATGAAACCTTAATAAAGGTACCATCGTTGACAACCAGAAAACCTTTATAATATATAGTTTTATTTAATCGTGCTTGACATCTTCATATTATTTGGCTGCTAACTGCTAAAATTTACTTCTTTAAGTCCCTTTACCACATTCCTGACTCTGTAATCCTCATCTCACATCTTTTTAGATCACCTGTCCTCCTATTCTGTTTAGCAAGTGCCTTTCTAATTAAATAAGCTCTTACCTTTTCCTCTGCTCCAGAAGTGTAGTAACAGGGAGGTGCTGATGCTAGTAAACAATATAAAACAGTGATTACTTTCAGGTAGAATCTATTTTATGTTCAACAAGTATTTAGCCCAGGATCACATTCTTGTATGATCCTTAGATGGTACTAACTAAACATAGCACTAATGATAGCAGTGCTTCTAGGAATATGTGTTAACTTTTTCTACTAAGATGGATCTCCCAGTTTTGTACATCGTGCATGATTAGGAAGGTTTAGTTCTGGAAGGAAATAGTTCAACCCTTCTTTTTAAAACTAGACATGTGCAAAAGCAGCCTTTACACAAGTCTCTTCAAGCAGACCCTGGTAAAATGTAATCACAGAGAATGAAGTTGATCATTGTGTGCAGTGAGAACATAAAGCTTATGTACCACTTAAGTCTTTAAAATAGGGTTTAAGTAAGAGCTAAGCATGCTTTTTTTCAGGCACTCTTCATGGGGTAAAATTTACCAGCAGAAGGCCTGAATAAGTTGAGCAGGGGACAGTGAGGGCCACACAAAAGGAAGGGGTAGGGAATCATGCTTCAACATGGTAACGGTTGGTAAAGGTCAGCTTCCTACTGATAATAAAGTGCACTCGCTGTATTTATCTGCAGATCCCTCTGAAAATGGCTGGTGATCTATGGAGAGCTTTATAGAAGGGCTTGAGCAGCCGCCTCCATGCAGAATCACTGTTATTCCATAACAGTTTCTGTATTCGGTGCTCATTTATTTACTCCAAACAATATATATAGTACAGGAGGAACACTAGGAGCCCTTAAAATGATATCCAGTTAAAAAAGAAAAAAGATCCAAAACAATTTCTTAGCAAAACATAAGCTGTTATTTTTAAGTTGCATGGGTAGTAGTGCCTAAAATATTATTTCTTTCATTCTTGGTGTGGAATTTTCCCTTGAGACAAAAGCATACCTGCACTTGGAATCATCCGCACGAAAATATCTGCAGGAACCAACAGAAAACAACTAACAATACGAGTGAAGAAAGCAAACAACTGATTAAGCAATATTCTGGTCTGGATACCAATAGTTAGGCTATTTGACACCAAAAGCAAAATGACCTGCCTCCTTTGACTTATACCATGGATCTTAGGTTTTTTCGCTCACAGTTGACTTAAGCCATCTTTGACTTTGAACCCTCTAGCTTTTATCAGTTTGCATCACAACCAAAGTGTTATTCAGGTTTATTTTTTTAGCGTGTGTGTGTGTGTGTACCCACACACCCACACAGAGAGAAAAATAAGGAAATTTTTATCATTACAGTATTTTGGCAGCATAATGGGAATAGACAGCAACTACTTTGTGTTACAAATTTGAATGTGAAATTTCAGAAAACCTCCTTGCATTAAAAATGAATTAACTGTGTGATTATTAATTGTGCATATTCCAATCCCTTTGTGCTGTACTGCATGTTTCTTGAATCTCATTTGAATCCTTTGGCTAAGTAATGTGTCAAGGGGGGTACTAGCCTGAATGCCTGAGTTATTTAAAAAGCAGGACAGCACTTCCAGATTAGAATACCAATGAGCGGGGTTAAAAAGGCTCTACTGTAGTTGGAGGGCAGCTCTCAGTCTGAGTAGTACCTGAAAAGGACCTCTATGGACTAATTTTCAGAATCACATTGTAATGTGGGCTCATGTCAATCATCAGAACAGACAGCTTCATCCCATGATATAAACTAGTTATACATTCAAGAGCTGCCAGAGGATCTTCATTAAAAAGGGACTTAGCATTAAAAGAAGAAGGTTGTTTTATTATAATACTTCAAACACAGTTTTTTGTTTTATATGTTCTCAGAAATCTTTTTTGTTCTTCTTCACAATATCAAAAAAGCACCACAGAAGCAGCAAAAACATTAAATATTCCAATTTTTAATGGGAATCAAGGTAGCTTTCTGGTTTAAGGCATTAAAAATCATATACATTTTTCTAAATATATTCATGCCTTTGAATAACAAAAAGAAGTCTCTAGATGTAATAGGAGGATGTTTTTAATCTTTTGTGAGAAGGGATTTGCAGAGCTGACTACTCAAGGTACAATATCTACTGGCAAAGTATATCACTGAGAGCTTTATACATATAAATTTGTATAAAACCTTTGGGCTATCCACAAGCTTCCTGATACCAGTTAGATATTACAATCCATGTCATTAAAATTTAATATGATTGTGTTAAGAAGAAAACATTAACAATATCCATGTAAGTAAATCATTGACACAGTAATCTAGTATTTCAAAAAACCTTAACAGAAGTTTATTAAAAAATAAATAGATAAATTTATCTATTTACCTATATGGTTATCATTTCAAAGAACCTGATTTAAATATAATTTCACAAGTCATGCAACTTCCTCAAAGTAGCTGGAATATTTTGATCTAAAACTGGTCTTGTGTATCCACTTCATGCCAGGATAAAGACATTATAGGAATCTAACTGAAATGAGATGTTTCTTTATAAGCAGAATTAAATGTAGAGTTTAATATATTTTGTGCTTGTCTTTTTAAGCTATAGTAGTTATATTTTGCATTATTTTCTGTCCTGAGAACAGATCGTTTTTTTCACTTTGCTATTTTTCAAGCAGCTTGGCCATCATAAAAAGTCAGGCACATTCTTGGCAATAGTAATACTGACCATTTCATTGTACAGTGCTTTCCATTTTCTATTATTGTCTTCACAATTATTAACTAATTAATTATTAACAAGTTAATGAGTTTTTCTATTGACCTTATTGCCATAACATCTAACACCTCTCAAACAATTAAAAATCTCACTTCTGAAGGTTTCTGTGACGCAGGCAATATTGTCATCCCTGTTTTATCAATGGGAGACTGAGGCACAAAGGTTCTCATTCCCGTATTCAGTTACAGTTTTATAACTGTAGTAGCATTAAAAGTAATGGGATTGCTTTTAAAATAAAGTTATTCTAGTCATCATCCAAAAGAAGATTAAAAAAAGAAGAAAATGAAACGAAGAGATTTAAGTAAATTTAACAAGGTTGCAGAGGAACCAAAAGCTTAATTAAAACCAAGATGTTCTTGTCTTCTATTTCTCTGGACAGACTGCTAGACTTTCTATATTTATTTTTAATGTAAATCAGTTATGATGGGTTATAACAGTAAGAGTACATGATATGATAATACTACGTATTGCAATTTTTAGTGTCTGTCTTCAGACATTTCTCTGGAAGCAGTATCATTAAAAATGAGTTTCAAGAGCTTAGAAAACCCTCCTGGTGAGTGAGCTCTAGCAAACTCACATGAACCCAGGGATATCTTAATTAAAGTCTTTCTGATGTTTAAAGATAAAACAGACATAACAATCCTTGCTCTTTGGGGTTCTTAAAAGAACTCTTTTGAGGCAAGCCTTTCCTTCTTTCTGCCATGCTCAAGCCTTGAATTACATATAAACACACACAAAATATCCACCTCAAAAAACACTTTACAGAAGGAGAGCATGACAATTACTTTGAAGTGCGAGCCCCTTTGCTAGCCCCCATCCTTGGAGCAGTTAGCAGTCCTATCTTTGATTTTGCCATTATCACAGTCTAACAGGTAAATGGTGTTCCAGTCTTAAGCCCAAAGAACACATCTTGAGGATTTGTTCAACATAGTTCAGATCCCTGGCACAGAAATCCCTTAAATTAAGGGAAGAACGAAAGCTTGATCTTCTGTAAAAATAAATTATAAAAAAATATTCTGTGGCTACAAATAGAACTCTGAAAGATCCACGCATAAAAATTCTCATTGAGACTGCAGTTGCTGCCAACCATCAGCTGGTCATTCATAGTCTTCTCTCATGTGCAAACTCCACACATTATGAGATCAACTCCTGTATTAATAACCTTCTGTACTGAGCATGGTATACAAGTGCCTTCTGAAATGGCACACCCACTGACAATACCAACCCTGTTTCTATCATTGAGAACTGCAGAGGGTATTCCAAGGTGCCTCATGTCTCACGGCATGCAGGCTTATAAAGAAAAGTCCTCTGTAGGATTAATGCAACTTGCTGCCTTCAGTGTTTATAAAGCTGCCGTGTATTCTGCAGTTTTATGTTGCTTGCAGGAAATTCCAGATTCTATTCTAGAAGATACTGCTTATTTATTACAAGAAGAATTTTTATTTTTGTTGAACAATATTGATGTCTGTGCACAGTTTCCCATAAATTATGCACCTGATTACCCCTGGCACCTCATTTGAAAGATTATGAAAGTATCATTAACAGTGAATCCACAATCCTGTAGTGCCAAACCAAACAATAGAAAGAAAAGATAACATCAGTCTGTCTTAAATCTGCAGGGTACAGTAATTGATGAAAACATTTCTGAGTTCCATGCAACATATTTCACACACTGTCTTTTTCCTTTATATGTATGCTTATGGTCACCTTGTACATCTTTTCCCCTATTTTCTAAACGCAGATTACACCAAGTTGGAAGCTTTGGCACACATAAAAAATATGTAAACAGTTTTGCAGGTGACTTCCAAACAGGAAACAATACATGAAGTTCAATCTGTACCCTTAGTTCCATTACTTAAGGCAAGAGGTGAGATACAGGTATGAAAGGTAAGCACTTTGGACACAGCGAACTATTCTGGAGACAAAGGAATTAACACCTTTTATGTCATCAGATTATCAGAAAAAGTCTTCTAATTTTAGTTGCAAAAGTCTCACTTTTTCAAAGCTATATTTAGCAGCTCACATTGGCACCTACAGTCAAAACATGTGGAAAAAATAGATTCCCTAAAAAAAAAAGTTATGCAATCCATCAAGTCTCAGATTCCATAAAGAGTGAGTACTTAGTGGGACTTGAATAAAAGATTATTAGAGCTCTTTGAGGAATGTCAGCGTTCCCCTTCCCAGAACAGAATACTGGAAAAGGCCTCAAATTGCAAAATCCTCGACTGCTTCTCTGTGCAACACTAATTTAGCTAAGATTTGGCTGAGGGGATAGGTTTCACAGTCTCTACTAGAAAGCTGCAAACTGCGGGTTCCTTGGAACATGTGGATG